CCGTTGTTATAGGGATTACTGTTTGGCTTCCTGGCCTGGTAGCTGCAGATAGTGGTTTGATTTCCTCTGCTGGATGCTGCAGGTTGTGGGTCAGAGTTCTGTTTTTACATATGGTCTGGCCATTGTCCATATATTCATTCACTCTCAGATCCATGAGTCCAGGCACCTCATGTGTCTTATTCACCACTGTACCCTCAGTGCTGAGATAGGTACCTGTTCCCGTAGTAGGTGCTCAATAAGTATTTGTTGAATGAAAGACCAGACACACGTCTGATCCGGTTGGATGGTCAGGGGCTCAGTCAGGTGCACAGCTGCTGGCTCTACTATGCTATGCTTAGTTACTGTGTTTAGCTAGAATATTGTTTTGCATGTTCAGGAACTTCACATCTTTTGCGGTTACTATTCACAGTGGTTAAGGCGCTCGGCTGCTAACTGAAAGGTCAGCGGTTTGAACCTGCCAGCTGCTCCGTGGGAGAAAGATGTGGCCGTCTGCTTTCGTAAACATTTATAGCCTTGGAAACCCTACGGGGGTAGTTCTGCTCTGTCCCATAAGGTCACTATGAGTAAGAATCGACTTGACAGCAATGGGTTTTTGTTTTGTTTTTTTTTCAGTTAGTGAATCACATGATCTGAAGTTTGTGGGTTTTTTTTTTTTTTTTTTGTTTAGAAGGGTAGCACAAGTTTGACTTGGCATTTATTATGCTCATTGTGATACCCTGGGGACCTCCACCTTACCCTTCAGATCTAGGCAAAATGTTGGGGTCACAGCCTTTCCCTCCAGGCCAGGGTCCCCTTAGCCCACCACTCTCTACGCTATTCCCAGTTGCAGTAGGACAGCCCAGCTAAGGGGGACTGGGGCTTCTCTTTCTACAGACCTCCACTTGGCGTAGTTCATCCAGTCTGGTCTTCATTCATTCATTTGACTAAAACAGCTACTGTGTGCCAGGGCCTGTGCTAGGCCTGGGGGTGCAGAGATGGTGAAGACAAGGCCTTATCATTATGAGTGGTCAGTCCGCAGATGTGTATCCACCTTATTTTTTGTGCTTGTTAAACTTAAAAATAAGCAAATGGACGAAAAGATAAGCTCCCTACTTCAAAGAGATCACAATCTCATGGAGTTATGTTCTACCTCCTTGAAAGGGGGAGTGTCTACAAAAATTATCTGGAATTATTTGGAAGATTATTTGGAATTTTTATGCATGGGAAATTTGTCTCTTCTCCTCCATCTATTTATTTAACCATTTATTTACGTCAATATGAATTCATGAATATTTATCTTACACTTTAGGTTATAATCCAGTCTACTTCCTTTATTTTGTTGCTTAAATTGTGCCAGCTTTGGCCATTGGGAGTTCTTTGAGTTCGCTTCTGTATCCCTTTGATACACCCCCATCAATGTGGGTCTGCTTGCTTGAGCATTTACTTACTTTCTGGCTCTCCAACATGCTGTGGGCTCATCTGATAGATTTCCTGCCCCAGTCCTAGAATCAACCATTTCCCCAAGGAGCCCTGGCTCTTTTTATTAGAGAATGGTATTAGAAACCAAGATTATTGCTTCCAAGGTCTAAATTTTTTTAAGTGTGGAAAAAAAAATGGACATTTCCATAAAAACATTATGCAGGGGAATGAAACACCTCTATAGGCCATAGTCTTGGCTCTCAGATTGCCAGTTTTTGACTTCTGCTTAACACTCATTTTCTTTGTGTAAGTTATTTGATTGCATTTGTTTCCACATCTGACAAATGAGCATAAAAAGAGTACATTAAGGTGCCGTGGTGGCACGATGGTTAAGCACTTGGCTGCTAACCAAAAAGTTGGGAGTTCAAACCTACCCAGTGGCTCTGTGGGAGAAAGACCTCATCTGCTTCAGTAAAGATTGGACCAAAAACCCACTGCCATCGAGGTGATTCCAACTCCTAGCTACCCTATAGGACAGAGTAGAACTGCCCTGTAGAGTTGCCAAGGCTATAAATCTTTACAGGAGCAGACTGCCACATCTTTCTCTCTCGGAGTGGCTGGTGGGTTTGAACCGCCCACCTTTTTGGTTAGCAGAGGAGCACTTTAACCTCAGTGCCACCAGAATTCCTCTGTAAAGATTAAAAAAATAAAAACCCATTGCTGTAGAGTCGATTCCAGCTCATAGCGATCCTATAGGACAGAGTAGATCTGCCCCATAGGCTTTCCAAGGAGTAGCTGGTGGATTCGAACTGTTGACCTTTTGGTTAGCAGCTGTAGCTCACCGTAGCTCTTAACCACTGCACCATCAGCCTAGGAAACCCTATGAGGAAGTTCTACTCTTTCACATGTTTCACGTCTTAGCAAGAGTTGAAAATCGACTGGACAGCACCCAAAACAATGACAACAGGTTTATTGTAAGGCCTAGATCAGATGTTAAAAGATAATTTTCAGAAAAGGGTAAAATCATGACTTTTACAGAGATAAAAATGAACTTGTGTTAAGTGTTTTATTTATTAGGGGAGAAGCTGGTAAGGTGTTTAAAACCAATTCAAAGGAGAATCCAAAGAGCAGACATATTTATACATCAGGAATATTGAAATGAATGTGCAAATGGAAGCAAAACTTTTTTTCACAAGGTGGAGGGTTGTCTGTCCACAGGACAGAATCTTTTGCATGTTTATAGACAAGAATAACTTTCCATTGCTGCTAATAACCTACAGTTTACAGATTTGTTAAATAGCTCCCAAAAAATCAGATAACGCAATAGGGCTATAATAGTTTTCATTGAAATACAAATGAAGTATAAGCTTCCTACGTGGGTAACAGCTGTAAAAGATTTGGCTTAAGATCTGGTACACAGTGAGTCACTTGTCATTCATTCAACTGCAGTTTCATTATTTCCATCTAGAAGGGTGTTATGAGCAGCAGTCCCTCAAATGGGAATGTGTATGACTGGAGCTGAAATGGCACAGCAAAGATACTTTTCAATTTGCTGTTAGGTGCTGTTGAGTTGGTCCTGTCTCACAACGACCCCACCCACGCACAACATAACAAAACACTGCCCAGTCTTGCACCATCTTCACAATTGTTGCTGTGTTTGAGCCCATTGTTGCAGCCACTGCGTCCATCTGTCTTGTTGAGGGACTTCCTCTTTTTCACTGACCCTCTACTTTAGTAAGCATGGTGTCCTTCTCCAGGGACTGGTCTCTCCTGATAACATGTCCAAAGTAAGTGAGGTAAAGTCTCACTATACTCGCTTGTAAGGAGTATTCTGACTGTTCTTCTGGCAATGCATGGTATGTTTTTGACTTAGATTGTGTATCTGGGGTAGAGATGGCACCTAAAATCCCATAACCAGTTGCCCTGAGAAGCCGACTGCCACATCTTTCTCCTGTAGAGTAACTTTGAACTGCAGATCTTTCAGTTAGCAGCCAAGTGCTTTAAGCACTGTGCCACAGGGGCTCCCATAAAACAAAAACCAGACCCATTGCCCTAGAGTCAATTTCGACTCATAGCGACCCTATAGGACAGAGTAGAACTGCCCCACAGGGTTTCCAAGAAGCAGCTAGTGAATTCGAACTGCAAACCTTTTGGTTAGCAGCCATAGCTCTTAACTACCCATCTCTTATTGCTTCCACTGTTCACTTGTCTAGTGGTGTGTGTGCCAGGCACCATTCTAGGGACTGGCGATACAGAAGTGTGCAAAACCAAGTCCCGGTGTATAAGTGTGATAAAACAGGCAAACCACTGTAGGGAGGAATTTGTGCTTCAATGGAAAACTGCGTAGTCTAGACAGCACACCCTTCCCATTTCTAGCCTTTCATTGCCTTTGAGATATTTTGCAACCTCTAAATTGTAGATAACTGAGAGCAAAGCACAATCATTCTTGTCCACAGACATGCAAATTAATTCTGTGAGCTGGGAGGTACAGCCTTCCCTGCAGGTGGAAAGGTGCATTTGCACATTCATTTATTCCATATAAATTTGCGCTTCTTTGACCTTTCTTTTAAACCAATTATAACATCTGCTTCCTTCCTTTATTTGAGTTAAATAAAATGTTTAACACATTCATTTCATATCTGTATGAGCATGATGACATATATATATATTTTTTTAATTATCCTTTAACAAAATTGGCAAGTAAATCCTTAATACACTGTTGGTATGATGTGTTATGGTGGGTTCGAACTGCTGACCTTTCAGTTAGCAGGCAAGCCCTGAACCACTGTGCCACCAGGGCTCTTTTAAATATGACATACTTACACTAAAAAAGTATTAGTTGCTAATCTGAAATTTAAATTTAACTGGGAGCCCTATATTTTATCTGGTGACCCTTTTTTTAATATTTTTTTTATTTTTTATTGTACTTTAGGTGAAAGTTTACAGAACAAATAGTTTCTCATTAAACAGTCAGTACACATATTGTTTTATGACATTGGTTAACAACCCCACAACATGTCAACACTCTCCCTCTCAAC